TGATACTCCACTGCCATTTGGGCAGCATATCAAGGGCTAGGCTCTCCCAATGTGGATTGATGGTACCTGTGGAGCCAATTATAGCTATGGGCTATGGATGACAGTTCTGTATCGAAGAGTTCTGCCATGTTCTGCAGTTGGAAGCCTTTGGGGGGCCTCAACCGCTTGGAGCTCAGGTGCGAGGAGTTCAACCTCATCTACTCCGCCCTCCCTGCGCTCCGCACGCCGGATCGGCCATCCGAGTTGCCACGGGAGTGGTGCGACCAGTGCAGTGACTATTTGAAGCGACTGTGCTGATGGACCTCACCGGTCTTTGGATGCTGGCTTCTTTACAGGCATTGTTTTCACAGCACGGAGCCCAGCTTCCAGTGATGTGCGCTCTTTTAGACGTCCAGATGCCACAAGCCATGCCACAGCCTCGACTGTGGGTCGCCCCCACAGTCGCCGAACCACGTGGACGTGCTTCGAGCGCTTCCTTGACGTGCCCGGGGCGAGCCCGATGTGAAGCTTTGAGGTGCCTGGCGTGGAAGGTCAACACCAAAACCCTCAGAGAATGTGCATCTTTCTTTCCAAACGTTATCGGTCTCTGTTTGAGACCGCTGATTCCCTCCAAGTTTCGTTGCCAATTAGCCGGAAATGAGTGTTTAAAACACTAGCATGAATAAACATTGAATATAATACACACAATATAATATGTGTTATAAAAGGGTGGCACAACATCCGCTGGGTGCCCTGGCTCAGCTGCTTCCCACAGAACGGGCGCCAGCGACTTCGCCGACCCAACCCCTGTGGACCGGCCAAGGTGCGACGGCTTCGGGGCTGGGGCTTCGGCCGGGCTTCGGAGCAGTCCTGGCTGAGAGTCTTTGAGGTTTCCCTCTGGGGAGCGTCGGTCCGTTCGTCGGTTCTTTCGATGTTCTTCTTGGATCAAGAAGAGAAAAGCAAATGGGCCTTCAAGATAAAGGCTTGTTTGGGTGACCTCAGTTGACCTCTCAACATAGACTTCCTGCTAGAGCTGCCAGAAACTGCATTCTTTGTCTGATTAGATGGGCTGGCAAACAGTTTTGCAGATGGAGGTTATGAGTAGTCAATCCCAAAACATGCGGAGGCTTGTCTCTGAAGAGCTGGACGTCCATTTGCTTCATTGAGTCATTGGCTTCATTGACATCAGATCTGGAGCTTTGTGGCCTTCCACCAATTCAAGAGATGGTTGGTGCTTCATTCTCAATCTCCTTGCGGTGATGTTCACTTCTTCTGGAAGGTGCCACCAGTCGGAAGTTCGACAGCCTGCAAACTCCAAGCTCAAGTGCTCGCTTAGCTTGTGAGAAGCTTCTTCAGTCCTGTCCGTTCGCACAGGTGTGAAGTACCCCTAAGCCACGCCTCGATGAACCCACCCAGCAGACACCTTGTAGAGGCACAGAACATTAAACAGGTGCCTGGGTCTATGATGTTGCTGTGTTGTTTGAGGGCGTGTGTGAGACGGAGTTCAATCATTGTGATCCCTGCTGGGATCATTTGAATATTCACCCAGATGCAAGGCCCGAGCAAATTCGCCCCAGGATTGAGCTACACTCCAATGAACGCATCACATGGAAGTGGAGGTCACCACCTGTTTGTAGAGGAGTTCATGGTCATCCAAGCGGCCATGCCATCCACGTAACCATGAGGACCTTTCAGGGAGTGCGATGGGCGCTTAAAGTTCATCGATCTGGCCCCTGCAACGCCTGCAAGTTGTTTCTATGGTGCCAGTTGATGTCCGACCAGTTGAAGTCCGTTGACGTGTAGAAGTCCTTTCAGGTGTTTGATAGATCACATGTTCACTTGGGTCAAGACTTGCCAGCTGGACACCAGCATGGAAGCTTGCAACGATGATGCTGCCCTCGTGGTCGAAGGTGTGCCCTTTTGGACTCAATTGATCTGACTGAAGCCTGCCATGCTCCCACGTGCGCGTGCACAACTCCACTGCCGCCCTGAGCAACACTCCTCAGCCCCTAGAAGCAGATAGGGGGTTTGGACGCACCAAAATCTTCATGATGTCCTTCCTTTGCATGCGGTTTTCTCCATCCAAGCCAACTCTGCGGCCAGCTGGGCACCGGACGTCTCAGATCCCGGCGCTTTTCAGCTTCGCTTGATCGCCCCCCTGAGTGATCAAAGCTGACCTCTTCACGTCCGACCGGTCCGATCACCGGACCGGTGCTTTCGGAGGAGCGGGACCGGACTGTGAGGGGACCAGGAGCGTTCACTTTGACCGGTCCTGATGTTCGGGCGGCCGGATTAGTGAGGCAAAGAGGTCCCCAAAGTTGGGGACCTGTCGGTTCGTGTGTCCATGTCAGAAGGATTGGTGCGTCCAGATTGTGCAAGGGGTGAGCCAGGGCAGCGTTGTGCTGTTCCAGAGCGGCCACGCGTGGTGGCTCAACAGCGCGGGTCTAGGTCGCAAATGCGAGGTGTATGGCTTATTTGGAAGGAGTGGCTTGACTGGAGAGTGGGCGTGGATAGGGGTCGCTTCAGGATAGGTCGGGTTCGAAGGCGCCCATATTCGCTGGACAAGTCCCAAATGGATCTAAATCTAATGGTCAATATGGACATCCATGTGGTGTCAAGGTGGTTTGGGATTTGGTATGATCCATGAACAGGTATGGGACATGGAATCTTCATGTGATGTCGGCTGTTGTTCATGTAGATACCAGCCAAGGCCGGCTTAGCCTCTACATATATATATATATATATAAACTGCGGCAGTGAAAAAGGCTAGCGGCTAACAGTCATGAGGTTGTTGGGACTTAGGTTGCAAACTGTTATGAAGCGATGCAGGGGAGTTTTGTTGGTTATTTCTTTGTCACAACTTAAAAGGTAAGGAAGTGCGACAAGACCTTCAAGTCATCCCTGCGTGGGCTGAGGTTGTCAAGTATCCCCGGCTTGTTCTTCTCGGACTCGTGCACTTCTACCCGGCCATGCAGTCTAAATGGCTGGACCTGGCTACCACTTCTGACCATCCTTGCCCAAGTCCCGAGTCCAAAATCTTGCACAGCTTCAGGAAACTCTAGACTTCTGACCATCCTTGCTTTTCCAATTCGTGGTGGCCAAGATCCGCAGTGCCCATGGCCATCACCGCAGTGCCCATGACATCGACGGCCTCATGCTCGACCTCACGGGACCGACTCTACGCTCGCACGACGCGGAGCAGCCGTGGAGCAGCTTGGCGGAGTGGTGGGTGGTGCTAATACATCATAGTGACACATAATGACAGTTAATAGTTGATACATGTATACTATAATATGTATATATGTCAATGGGTTTCATCGAAAGGGCCACTGAACATTAGGATGACCTCTGCCATGGGGCTCAATGAACCTCCTGTCGCTTCCTGGGGTGTGTCGCAGTGTGCCTAAAGTGGCCCCGTAAATGTTGTGTTGGATGTTCGATGATGTTCGTGAAGACAAGTCAAAGTGAACCCATCACACCCCCAAATAGGAAGAGCTAGGAAGGGCAAGCCAACAGTTACCTGACTGACATTACCCTAGCCATGAAATCCTGGGCTGGTGTTTTTCTTGTAGATGTGGTGCTCTACCAGACTCGATGGCCATGAACTTTGATCCTTTGACCACTCAGGCGATTCATCAAGGTGCAGCCTTTGAAGCTTGGAGATTTCTGAGATGGAGCTTAAAGACCAGGAGAGGCAGTGATACTGAAACACTGGTGCTAGGATTCTGATGTGTGATCTTGTTCTTTGTGATTTTTGGACCCCTTGCCCCGCTTCCCTGTTTTGCTGTGATCTTAAAACATGGGGACCATCTGGAATGTTTGTGCCATTGTTCCGCCCCACGGGGAGTCTAAGAGTCTAAGGTGTCATAAGGTGCAGTAAGGAAGGCAGTCCAACCAGTTACCAGTCTTGGGCCCAAAAAGCCACCCCGGAGGAAGATGTACCTCTTCCGCCTCTTCATGGGGCGGCGCGGGTCTGGCAAGGGTCTAGGCAGGTCTCAGCAGCCGCCCTATTCCCTGGTGTGACATGTCGCATGATGTTGGAGCCTCAAAGCCCAAGCAAAAGATGTCCTGCCTTCCACTGCATGTCTTGAAGATGGCCAGCTGCACCGATCGGACCGAACAAGCCGGGCTTCACTCTCTCGCTGAGCCGCCGGTTTCCCGTCACGTGAGGAGACGGGTTTTTCCGTGAGGGGCGCACGTGTTCGTCGGGGGGGGACGGATCGGAAGTGGAAGAAGGGGTCCAGGGAGGAGGCCACCAGCAGAGGTGGCGAAGACGAAGTGGGGGAGATGCATCCATCAGCTCGATTTGCACAAGAGTTTGGGGATGCAGGGAAGAATTCAATGCCACCAAGAACGTTTTGGTTCGATGTGCGTAGCTGGGGTGTTCCAAGCTGCAGACCTTCTAGATCCGCATGAGTTGAAGCTTCGGCAGCTTCGAACGGCGCCTTGGCTCTTTGAGCTCACCGACTTGGGCTTAGCCAAGTCGCATGGCTGCTCTCATGCGAGGCTGGTGCCGGAAATGAGCTGAGATAAATGAGACAGGCCTGGCAAAAGTGTGTACTCTGACAGTGACAAACCTTGCAAAAACCCTAATATTGTCCAGAATGTCTAATAAAACATAAGTCTTGTAAAGAAGGCTCTTTTGTTCTTGAATGTGTCACGGGGAGCTTCTCTATGCATTCGTCAGACATGTCATTGGCGGTTGAAGTTGCCCCAGCTGCACGAGCCTTGCCTACACGGGCGGCTTAAGCAGGCCACGCAACGAAGACCCTTCCACAGACCTTTCCGGTGAGGCTTGACGTGAGACAAATGTGAGGTCCATCCTCACTCTATCCCTCCATCCAGTCGGATTTCATGCTCCCACCAGTCGAGTTGCATGTCAGGGTTCATTCTGCACCAGTGGCCGTCATCCGAAAAACATGGTGCCAGTCACGTGGATGAGGCGAACATCCACGGACCACAGAGTGCTTCAAAATATCCACCTCACGCGTGACCGGAAGGCACGGTTTCGTGGAGTTTTGAAGCAGACGCGCCGTCGTGGCACCTAGATTGAAGTTGTGGCAAATGTTGAAAACAAATTATGCGTTTGGACATGCATGTGTCACCCCAGAGGGTCAAGAGTTAAGGGTTTTTTGGTCCTTGTGCAACTAGCTACAATGGAGACCCATGCCACAACCAAGTGCTCAGCAAGCACATTGCTTCACCAGTACGCCGCATTGACTGTGTCGGTGCCACACAGTCAAGACCCTGTGCTAGTCACCTAGTCCATCATCGTCCACAGCCGGTGTTGATCGCCTTGAGATGGTTTTCACAGCCAAAGATGCAGTTGACCTTGTTAAGTTCGGAACTCTTATATAATCATTCCTAGAGCTAGACTAAGTCACCTCCGCAGGAATTCAGTGAGATGGCAACAAAAGAACTTTGATTTAGACCCTTTATGTTCTACTCAAGGGCATGGAAGCTCAGTCTGTGCAATGGCTTTCGATCAATGCTCATGGAGTTCATCAAGTCACCATTTACCGACCTCTTTGGGTCAAACCGACCTCCTTAGGGCAAGACCTCCTTGCAGAAAGGCCGACCCCCTTGAACAGGTTTCTATTTTTGACCGGGGGCCTTGTTACTTAGTCCCGCTGCCTTGATTTGAAAGCGGAAAGTCCAGTCCACCGTTGGGTGGGTCGAACAATGGCCTCACCGAAAAGGGTCCAGAGGGAACCTGGCGCTGTTCTTGGTTGACACTGCCGAAATTGGAATGAGGAGAGCGTGTGAGTAGAATCCTCTTTTGCTTGCTGCGTGTTTTGTTTGGTCGCAGGTCTGCCACTTTAGCCAGTGAAAGGGTCCCAGGCATAATGAGCTTCCCCAGACGAAAGCGTGGTGACCGCTCCTTAGCGAAAAGCATTTGCGGTGGAGCTGAGTCATTTCTTCTCTAAGCAATCGTAAAAAATCACAGCCCTGGTGCAGCTAGGAGCGGCTGGATCTAAACATCACCAACACGTCAATACAAATGCAGAGCCTGTCGCATTGCCCTGCAGCCTGCAGCCACATTCATGGTGCCGGGTTGCTGGCCGTGTAGCACATAGTTACCCACAGAGAAATCGCCGGAGCAGAATTTGCCCTCGTTTTTTGCGTGACAGTGCCTGTGGGTTTTGTGGCCTGAAAGAGACTTTGAGATTCTACAAAGGTTGTGATTGACTTGGTGTGGTACGGCAAAAAGTTTCAACGCAACCTGTCTCGTGAAACCGTGTTGCAAGAGCCAAGCCTTTTTGGCAATGATCATGCATGGGACGCACTTGTCCGCATGGTGTGAAGATCATCTTCAACCATGCCAAGCGACAAGGCCTTCATTGATTCAACACATGTGATGTGCGTCCTGGCCTTCTGCACCGTCGCCAGTCGACTGATCGTCGCCGAGTCGTGCCGCCAATCGTGAACCACACGGCAGAGAGTGGCCTGGTTTGGACGACTCGCTGACGAACGGTGGAGATCTTAAGGTCCGAGTCCCGCACCCGGAGGGCTGTGTAAGATCTCCAGTACTTTCGGTCGGGGTCGGTGCGAGACATTGCACCTGAAGTTGCTGGAGCTGATGTCTCAAAAGATGCACCACCTGAGATGCAGGGGCGGTTGAAAACCGCGCCCCACAAGAGCTGCACATGGGCAGCTGTATGGAGCTTTCATCCAAGAGAAGTGTTGTTTTTCCAAGCCCCAGTTGGTTGAGCCCAGTGATTCGAACAGGACTGTCAGCTCTCTCTTTTCCCAGGCCGTACAGGCCGTACCGAGCCCGGACTTGAAGGGATGGGACTGTCAGCGCCGAAGCCACAATGGATTGGACGGTGCGTTCCAAGCACCAAGACTGCACGAACTTAGATTAAAAGAGTCCAATCCCATGAATCCCTACATGCTCCCCTTCCTTGGGAGACCAGCTGCGTCCTGCTGTCAGCCCCGCTCCGCTGGCGGAGCCGCACACGGCGGGACCGCCCTCTTCGTGGCGGCCCTGGCCGAGCTTTGCCGTGCTGCGACCTCCGCGGAGGTCGACCGCAGCGAGGTCGAGGGAGTTGGAACGGTGAAGGTGCCGCGGTGAAGGTGCAGCGCTTCAGGGACCTTCGGCCGGTGGAAGTCCCTGTGGAGCGAAGAGAGCGAATCGATTTTGCAGATTAAGACCACCAGGTGTGGCGAATTAGACTTGGCAGAATGAACTTGAATCCGATGATGGTGCTACCACCATTGCTGTTCTTGAAAGAAGCCTTTCCGAGCAACATGCCGGAGCTATTGGCAGCTTGAGATATAAACCCCATCCTTCCAAGCCTTTGACAGTGAGTTTGGGTAAAGCTGATGAGATGAGTTGACCTGCTCAACACAGATCCACTCGTCGCCGTCGAGAGACGCCCTCCGAGGTGCGAGAAATAGTTGGTAAGAATGAACATGTCGACCGCCATCACGCCTTGTGAACACCTCATACCGCCGTGTGAAGGTCCCGGCGTCACGCCACGATGACGGCGGTAGGCCTCCCCCGTGCGCCGGTCCGTGCGATGACGACGGTGTGCTCACGTCGTGGGAACGGTCACTGGCTCACCGCCTCACCAGGTCGGGTTGGGGGTCCGCCGTCGTAGCGCTGTGGGGCCGTACTGAGATGTGAACGATATATGCTTAAGTACTCAGACTCCAAAAGGCCACAGCTGCCTGTGATTTAGGTGTGTCTGTGATTTAGGAACGCAGGAACTGCCATGGTCTCATGCTAGAATGCCCTGCTGTTGAGAAGATACCCTAATTAGTAAGAATAAGATACACAAGCAACATCCTTGTGCATATAGCCTGATGTTGACTCCAATCGCCGATCGGACCAAACTCCCATCAGCATGTTTGTTCCGCCTCCCGTTGCTTCGCGACGTGCCGAAGCGCAGACGTACCTGGGTCAGCCGTCTCGGTGGCTTCGTTGCACCCAAAGCGTGGAGGGCGAGAGGAAGGGTAGACGGGCTCTGGTTGAGCTGCTCGATGTGTTTTTGTGGATTTAGCAGGACCTTAGTGAACTCTAGGGCAGGTGGAGCCGAGTGGTGGTTTGTGAGATACTCTTGGTAAAATCATGGCCATCCCAACGGGAGTCCAGCAAAAGAAAGGCTACTAATCAATTGACCCAGAAGCTCCACCCGTTGATTGCGGATGTGGGGGTGTGACTTGGTGTTGGCGCCCATCACCTGAGCCTTGCAAGCACTGTTGAGCTGTTGTTCCAAAGAGGCCCCAGTGAGCTTGGAAGTGGGCAGATCTCCTAGCCAGGAGTCACCCCAAACAGTGGCTTGCAAGAGGTGCTCCCAAGGATCTATTATATCTATTATCACCAGATTGCCCTCAGAACAAAGGCGGTACGGCGTAGCTTTGGGAGTTGGCGCTTGTGCCGGAGCACAGCTGCTTAAGAGAGGTTAGGGATGCTTCATGGAGGTAGTCGGGGTGCCCATGACCCACTCACCCCGACATGTGACTCCTGGGCCTCCTGGGTAGGAGTCCTTTAAAGCCACCGGAACGGCGGCGGCTCTTTTGCCCGAAGACTCGGAAGACCTCCGCGGCGCGGGGGTGCTGAAGGCACCTCCGGTTCCGTCACAGGTTCCGTAAAACAGACTTAGCCTGGACAGTCACCTGAAAAAAATAGCACTCCCGCAAGTGCTGCCAGGTTGTGTGTAGGCTGTGCATGTGTCAAATGGCACCAAGTTCCAAGTGCCTTGGCTTGAAGTTGTGGCTTGATAAGGAGTTTTTGGATGGAAGGTTGTTGGAGTCGCACCGATGAAGGCTGGCTCCTTCCAAAGCTTTTTGCTGGCAATTCACTTTAGCAACCGTGAAGACAAGAGCAACTCCTGCTGAGTCATTTTTGGCAGAGCAACATATGTTTTGACACGGCCAGGGCGCCGTGGTCGAGCTGTTTGCGTGAGGTCAGATACAGGCATGCAAGACACGGATTTGAGAGCTGCAGTTTGAGAAAGACTCTCAAAGTCATCTAGACTAAGCCTGCCTGCCTTTCAGGGACAGGCTCAGCTAGTCGTCGACAAGTGTTGATCAGAAATTCCCAGCTGCGGAATAGGCCAAGACTCCGTTAAGGCAGCTCATGGGAATTGTGGATGTTGCTTTGAAAGGATGAGAAGTTGTGAAAGGATGAGACGAAGAAGGCCCTTTCCAAGAGGGTCTACACATTAAAGCTCAGACAGTTTCGTTTTTTCAATGAATGGATCCAGTTTTTGTCAGACTGGCTTGGACAGTCAAAAACCCACTTTCGGGGGCCAGAAACAAGGTCAAGGTACCACGTGAGTGAAGGTGCTTGGCCAAGGTGCTCCCCAATCTCCCCTATCCACCATTCTCAGAGCCACTCTTGACTGGAGACACTTGCATTGCTTGTGTCGCCACTGGGATTTCCCATTTGGCTGTGCGGTTGTCGGAAGGGAACATGGCTTGATGAGAATCAACGGCATTCTTTGCGCGAGTTCCCCGTGGCCGACAGGGTGCGCGCGTGCGGCCACCAACATGGCGGGGAGTGTGAAGAAGAGGTTGAGCTGCCAAGGAATGCAAAAAGACTTGGTCTTAAAGGCTTAAAGCTAAGACTCCAACCGTGGATGGATTTGCCTTCGCTTCAGAGCTTGGCAGTGGCATTTTGTTCCCTGATTCTATCTGAAAGACACGAGGCAGCTGTGCAGTGCGCCAAGGAATGGCACGGCAAAGTCCATCGGCCGTTGATTGTAGAGGGATTCAGTTATCAAAGAGGATAGTCCCACCAGTAATTCTAAGGTTGGGTCATTAGGATATTACCTTGACAGTAAAACCCCTGACAAGAGCATGTGAGTGGTGGATTTTGAGCATGCCGTGGGCTTGAGCGAGTCTGTTGATCGTGCGAAGGAGAGGAGCTTCGTAGTGATATCGACCACAACAGATGCAACATGATAAGCCCTTGTTGGCAGTTGGCAGTGCAGAAGATGCAATGGGTTGCTTATTGAACAGATAGCTTTTGACACCCTCCCGGAGGTTGATGTCACCTGCTGGCAAAGGGTGATGTTGTTAGGAGACATGCTGTCCATGTACAGTGAGGCTGTTAAGTGAGATTGTGATTCCCACTCGGGGAAGGACATGGAGCCCGATCTTGAGGCACAAGAATTTTGCCTAAAGTTTTAAAAACCTGAAGCACTCACAAAGATCTTAACCGTGAAGTAGTCAACTTAAACTATCCGATACCTTGACGAAAAGTTCAGCCCTTCCCTTGGCGTTCTTGAAGGATAACCTCATCCAATTTCTTTCATAGTGCAGATAACTTAAACTGATGTGTGTCATCCACATCCAACGTCGTCCAACGCTGCGGCTCCGGCATCCTAAGAATCGCGCAAAAGAACGTGGTTTCGTTGCCACATCCCAGTTCCATTCCCAGTCAGACGCAGAAAAAAGATGAGTGGAAACCATTTCACGCAACGTCGCGATTGAGGTCTGACTGTTGACTCTTGGCCAAAATTGACTTCTCGATGCCCTGAACACACAGCTGATTCTCAGCTCTTGAGCTTGATGCTTCACCCAGCTTGAGCGGAAGCAAGGCAACATACCTGGTGCACGCCACAAACCCAGCCTTCCCATGGAGGGGTGTCGTTGGTCGATGGGTGGAGGTGCTGAGCCGTGGTGCAGGTGGGCTGCATGTGCCATGTGATTTTGTGGTCAGGCATGGTGCAAGTGCATTCATATGCAATTCCTGCTTCAACAATATTCAATAACAAAACCATTCCCAAATGCGCTGGGGTTGGCTTTTGCGATGCTCCGACCGTTTTTTTGATAGCTCCCAAATCACCCATAGACATGGATTTCATACATTGGATCATGCATTTCATGGCTTAAGAACAAGAGGAAAGCAGCTTCCCCAGTGACCCTTTCCTTTTCGACGGCACCCTGGGGCAGGTGCTTGCCGGCACCCTGCGCGCGCCCGCCGAGTTGCGGCGGCTGGGCCCACCTGTGTAGGCCCGGCCGCGAGCCAACGTTTGGAGGCCGCTGAGGCCGCTGAATCTGGGTTTGTTTGGAGTACTTGGGAATCAAACCATTTTGAATCCATTTGGTTTGAATGGATCCAAATGGTTTGAATGGATCCAAATGGATCCAAATGAATCAAACCGATTTTGGATCCATTTGGCGCCTCAATGGAGCACACGAAGCTGGGTCATGATTGGAGTAGAAACAACCGTTTTGGGACTAACCGCTGTGGTTGTCGTTAGGGTATGTTTAGGGTCACCACACCCCTGCCATCCCCCGGCCACATCCTGTCAATCTCACATCCTCTTGTACCAAGAAAGCTCAAGACGTCCAGGTGCACAGTGAGATGCCCCTTTTTTCGTCCCTGCACTCGCTGGACGACGCATCCGAGAGTGAGAGTGATGATGCCACGGGGCCGCCAATGGACACCTATTGGATGGAAGGAGGTGCCAAGGGAGGTTTGTCGATGGGGGTGATCCCGGAAAGGACAGGGTCAAACTTTACCTGAACCCTCCTTTGTAGCACTTATTTCTGGCAAACCATGCTTTGGTGAAGTTTTTGATGAATTGAGCATTAACTTATGAAGATAACACTTTTTGGAGGATTTTCTGGAAATGAGCACTTTTCCAAAAAGTAGCTCTTGAGATCTCTTGAGGCTATTTGGATCCCTAAGATTCTGTCCATATGTCCAAACCTCTCTTCGATGCCCGTGATGTGTGGATGTGCACGGGCCATACGCGGGTGGCTCCAGCGGCACACCTGGGCACGTGATCACAGGAAACGATTCAGTGCAGGACACAACTTGCAAAGCTTCGAATACACATGGATGCATACATACATATATCCACATATCTTTCTGCGCTGTTTATCCTTTAGACTTCGATTCATGCTTTGGGCCATCCCGCTGCCAAAGCTGTGAGGTGCCATTGGCATGTTTTTCATCGGCAAAGCACTGCTTTTTGCACTCTGAGGGTGTTTCAACTTGAGTGCCTGCATTTTGGTTTTCTTGCCTTGAGCCCTCTTTGGTTCATCAGCTTAGCTTAAGTTGTGGCCATGGTGGTGGACGTTGGGCCAGTTCTCAAGGAGTGGCTGGCGCATGATGTTCTGGTACAGCGTGCTGCAGTCCAGCAGCTAGTGACCATTGAACTTGGGGTTACAGTCAGTGCTGCAGAAGCCCATAACATACTCCTGGCCCCAGTCATGAAGCATTTGGGATCTTTGCCTGCAGACTAAAAGCCTACTAACACAATACAAGAGGCTAGTGCTACTAGATTCTAAGTCATGCACTTACCGTGTCCAAGCTCAGGGCTGAAGCCAAGCATCGAAGTCGTGAAGGAGACCGTTGAACGTATGTTTGCATGTTGCAAACCGTATGGGAAGAAAAGAGCTTCAAGTAACGTGTCTCAAAACATCTCAAAAGCTAGCTGTGAAGTAATCTTCAGATAAGTATGCATATGTGCTTGAATGACCTGAACTGTATATAGCTGCTCTGAATGTGCTATTGGTTTCGCAAGGTTGCACAGTCCAAACTACTGCCTGGTACATCCGCCGGATTGTCACAAACTGGAGTCGGTGGGCGAAGAGAGGGTCTTGTCCGCGCTCGGCGGGTCAAAAACTGCTCTTTGAGGCTGCTGACACTCCTATTCCTGAGAGAACTTTGACAAAGAATGTGTGTAATTGTTGTGATTGTATGTATGTAGCTCCATGCATATGCAAGTGTGTATGGCGTCATGCAATTAAGGATCTGAATCTGGAAGTACTGCCACTGCTGCTGATGATGGTTGGGAGGGTGAGGAGGGAGAAGGAGGAGGAGAAGGTGGGGAAGAGGAGGAATACGATGATGATGAGGAGGTTGAAGAGGTAGGAGAGGTTTGTGAAGAAGAGGTTGAAGGCTTGAATGATGAAGATGACGCTAAGGAGGGAGGAGATGATGGGAAGGAGATGACAGGTGATGGTGATCACATGGAAGAGCCCGTGGAAGGTCTTGATGATGAAGCTGAGCAGCTGCCCAGTGAGCCAGAGCCGCGTGGGCAATCTGCTCTGTCTTCTAGTGGTCAGGACTTTGGTGGCTTAATAGTATTTGCATGTACCGGGCTATACATACGTATTGAAAGAAAGCAAGAAACAAGCAACACTGTTCCCACTGACTTCGCATCTGATCGTTTTGGTTGGCAGGATGATCAAGCACCATTGCAACAGGAAAAGTCACCAACTCCCACTCCAGCAGCTACTCCTTGTGAAGCCCCCAGATGTTTCATGTTGTAAATTTTCAGACAAAAACTATGCATCAAACTGCGGATCCATGGCCCTTATTGTCTCTGAGGCCCCTTGCTGGCAGAGGAATTGGTGACACCTCCTCCGAAGCGCTGCTCGGCCTCCATGAGATTTGACAGTTGGCGGACATCTGCACTACAAGAAAAGCAAACATAATACAAACGTGGGACCTGGGATTCCTTTCTATTGAGGCTTCATGGAACGCTTGCGCTCATCTTCTTCGGTGATGTCTGGAGAGAAAGGGGCTGATCCGAGGCTGGCTGAAATTCGGGCCTTGCAAGAGTTGGAAAACGAACTACAGAATCTCACTACTTTGATGGCACAGAAGAGCGCTATTGAACAGCTGAGTAAGGGGAAGCAGGCGTCACTCCACATGAGCACCATTTTCGCAAAAAGAAAAACAGATGATATCATATAAGATCCAGTTGTCATGGTCACTAATCGTTAGATATAATCTGCTTGCCCCGTAAATCTTGCTAAGGTATGGATGTCGTCGACGCCTGCCCTCTGAACCATGATGTCATGGAAGTCCTAGCTGACGACATGAAGAAGCTCACCATGGAATCTCCAGAGTTTGGACTCGCTGAGGCTTTTCAACACACTGTTGATCCCCCTGGCACTGAAGCTGTTTCTCATGGAGGCACCGGTCCCACCGAGAAAGATCCTGAGAGCAAGCGTGAAGTCCAATCTACTAATGTTCCCCTGACCCAGCCAGAACCTGTGGAGCAGGATGCCCAGGATCCCCAGGTCAAGATGCCTTCGCCCCCATTGGTAGATGAAGTCCAATCTACTGATGTTCCCCTGCCCCAGCCAGAACCTGTGGACCAGGATGCCCAGGATCCCCAGGTCAAGATGCCTTCGCCTCCTTTCAAAGCGGAAGCGGCAGCGGTTGATCTTCCACCTGCCGATTGTGGGGCTGAGGCTCTGCAGTCCACCAATATCACGTATATCTTACAGGATGCGTATTTGTGTGCATATGTTGTTGAATGTGTGTGCATATCTGTGTCCATTGTCTCCATGTTTTGGGATAATTCCTGCAGGCTGCTGCCTTCAAGATCATGAAGGAGGTAAAGCATATCAGCCCTCAGGACCAAGTCAAGCTGACCGGAAGCAACCGTGGGCGGGCAAGGGGCCGACCCAGGGGAAGAGGGAAGGGTAGGGGAAGGGGACGGAAAACAAAAGCAAAACATGAGCATGATGAAGGTGCCGAGAGTGAGGAAGAGCGTGAGGAAGAGAGTGGAGATGATGAGGAATACAACGAAGAAGATGACGAAGACAGATCTGAGAAACCTGAAGAATTGAGCAAGGGCAAGATGTCAGTGTCTGCTAAATCAAAAGCAAAGACAAAAGCAGCCAAATCCAAAGCAAGGCCTGCAAAGGATGCAAAGCCTGCCCACAAACCGCGAAGGGCCACCGCACCAAAAGCCAAAGCAAAGGAAACCACACAGAAGAGAAGCAATCTAGATGACCACCAGCTGAGTGAAACAACACGACCAAAAGAGGAGTCCAAGGAGACAGCAAGCAAGAGACGCAGAACAGCAAGCTCCAAACCCTCAGGCTCTTCCAAAGGTCCCCGTGGCGGTGAAGCCAAACCTGAGGAAGACCCTGAGGAACTGCCCAAGAAACACAAGGCTGACAATTCCAAGAAGCGTAAGGGACCTACAGACGAGCAGAAGGCTTTACGCAGTAGGAAGTCTTGCGCGTACCAGAAGTCTTATAGAGAGAATCTGGAAGTCCATGGGGAGATTGAAGCAAGGAAGCGTGCTAGACAGGTTCTTTGGTGGCAAGTATTGTCAAGATGTGCTGCAACATGCTCTGCGTGTAATGTGTGTAATATATGTGTGCTAGGGCGTGGCTTACCAAACAACTTAGGCATATTCGCTGGCTGTCTGAAGAGGATTCTGTGTGAGAGGGCCTAATTCTTTGATACCTGTCTTTTGCACTGAGACAGTTGGGATGCAGTTTTTACATAGCTGCGTGGGGTTGTCCGTGCATTGACTGCAGTGTCCTAATCCTGCTTTATCGCCTGAAAGCGGGTCATCTTTGCAAGCCGGGCCGTATGATTCTTTCGTGATTATCCTGGCACGCAGTGAGGTGGAAAAGTGGTGCATCGGGCATCTGTGCAGTTGTTTATGTATTGGCAAGTGGTTCAGTTGCAAAGGCAAGCGCTTTGTCAAGGCAGCGGTTGCAAGCCTTAAGACTAGATAGTAGTTCGATTGATCTTCACGCATATATATATATATAGTCTGATGTGCACGACCGTGACAGCCAGGTGTTGAAGATATGCCGACCAATGATGCCTGGCTTGCTCGGGCTGTGCTTCAAGGTGTCGTGGACCGACTCCCCCCAAACGCTTGCGCATCAATTTCTGTGTGTACACCTATTTAGGTTGCAAGTGTTTGTGCAAGGAAAGCTGACTTGTTTGATTGGCACTGCACTGTTTGAGACATGCAGTTGATGGGGTCAAGTCACGTGGGTTTGAAGTCACAGCAGCTAGCCATGGAAAGTTCGATCGTGCAACGTCTTCTTTACGTTCAAGCACCAAAGGCCATGCATAGATTATTTACCCACGTTCAATGATTCCAACAAGTATACGCCAACGCTTTTTGATTTATATATGTATGTCAGGTGTTGATTGCCACCGTCTGGGCCCTTTTACTACCAAGCTTTTGTATGGAGTCATACAAGACAGAAACATCCTGAGGTCTTACTACTTCTGTGGCAGGAGAACCTTTCCTTTGAGCCCCACATAGATTATTTCGAGCTATTTGCAGGTTCTGCTGAAGCTACCAAGTACTGGTAACTTAACAAGCAACTGACTGGGCTTTGTTGGGGGTTGGCATAAACCGCGTTAAATCCTGTTTTCCTTCTCAGGCAAGATCAAGGCTATCGGTGCTGCAAGGTGGACATTGCATATGGAGAGTGCATGGACTTTGAAAACAGTGCATGCTTTGGGCTACCTGGTCTATGGTTGGTATTGGTTGGTCGCTTTTTCACGTTTGCATTACATGCTTTTTGAAAGCATTTACGGGTGATGTGAAAATAGTATGATGCTTGGACCCCCCCTGATTTATCCATTTGAACTTAGGCTATGCTTGTGGGTCATACTCAACGAAGTTGTGGATGGCTTTAATGTTCTGGCACCCGTATGTGGCAGTTGGAGCACAGTATC